TTCGGGGCTTCAGGGTTACGGGTTTAGGTCCGTAAGGGTTCCTGCAAGGCTTCCGGTGAGGGTTCTCGTAGGGGTTCCTTTAAGAGTTCCTTTGAGAATTCCCTTAAACGAAGCCTTCCTTTAGAAATTCCTGTAAGATTCTATGGTAAGGTAGGAAAGGAAATGCTACAGGAGTCTTGCATTGATGGCGAACAGCATGAGCAAAAGCAAACAACACAAGACAAAAACAACTCGGCCGGAAGTGCTGCGACGCGCAAAGGCCAGATTTGCACGTGATGGTTTGTGACAGTATCCCCGTACATCGAAACCCTGAACCCTGACTCCTATCCCTGACTTTTCCGTGGCCTTGCCGATTAGGATCATGAGAAGATCTCAAACGAGGCAGACAAACAAGGTATTAAACTCATCTAGCTCCCAAACGCTCTTCAACAACCCTGTAAACGACAATTTAAACAAACGAAAATCAAGCACCAAAAAGCGATCAACAAGAATCACAAAAATATGTAGACTATTATAAAATGCAGCACAACTCCACTCACTCCCTATGAAACAACATGGTGCAGTATCCAACTCAAAAGACACTCAATATAGTAAGCCTGATACGCAGTTGAAGCAATGAAACACTACAGTAAAACAAAACTCCTAGATTGGTTTGGAGACCGGGCGGCGAAAGACATTTCACCCATTGTACGTCTGAAGCACTGCAAAGCCTAAGTCCCTAAACCGCTAAACCCATGTAAGAAACACGATTAACAAGCACGAAACACGAAACCCTAAATCCCTAAATCGCTAAACCCCAAACCCTAAACCCTAAACCCCCAAACCCTACCAGCACCCCCCAACGTACCTCTAATGAGGTTTTTATGCAAAGCACCACTAATAGATGGCACTTATCCAGAAGCTGCGAAAGAGGGGACTTATGCTTGATATATGGGGTGGTTTTTATGGTATTTTTAAAAGCTACTTCTACCTACTTCTTGGGCTGGTTGCACTACCTGCTGTTCTACCTGATCACGATCGAAGAATCCGGCCTTTCTGCGGTCATGCTGGCTCGGTTGTCATGGCTCGGAGCCAACGCACACAAACATAGGCTGCATACCTACTTAAAGTTTGGCGGCCTAGGCATGTCGGGTGAGACATCTTCGCGAGTCGTTTGATTTTTCCCACCTAAGCTAGTCGCAGGGTGCATGATACATTACAGTTCGCATTGCAACTTGCATACATGCCATCTGAGAAGCAGCATCTTCATCCAGATAAGTTGAAACAACGAGCGGATTCGCTCGCACGGCGCTGTCGTAGGAGATGTGGTCGGTCCTTGGATTGGAGGGCTCCAGGTTTATAAGCTGCACATGAGAAGTATTTGCTCCGAGAGGCTTGTGCAGCTTCGGTCTTATTTTCCACAACATTCTGCCGCTTTGTATGGCTTCATCGGCAAGACCTCACATTGGCTGAGGCATCATTACATATGCTAAGAAATGCTAAACTATCTTACCATCTATTGCATATCGAGAAGGCACAGGGCCCAGGCCATTCAGTGCACAATGGAATAAGTAGTTGGCCTCCTGAAGCTTCCGGATGTTGGCATCCGACAGGGTCGAAAACAGATTTCCATTCTCATTGTTGACAGAGATCGCTTCTCTCATGCGCACGAGGTTGATGAACACGGCGGCTCGCAGCCTAAGTTGGTAGCAACATTGTCATCAAGCACGACACTGTTTATCAAGCAACAAACCAAATTTTTGATCTGCAGCTCTGCATGAACGTCGCCTGGCCGTTTGGAGGCTTCAGCCAGAGTGAGCCCCATAAGCCAGCGAGCCATCATCACACTCTCCTTAATATTGGTTCCGCTGATTGCAACTGTTGTTTTGATGCAGGGCTGTGCATTCCAAGTTTCTGCTCCAGACAAATGCTTTTGTGCAATGGTGGGGAACTGCATTTTTTCTTGTCCCCACCGCTCAGGTGTTTCCTCGGATCTCGTAGACGTCTAGTTATGTGCATGGGCTATCTACCATATATTATGCCGAGTCTCAGACTGAAAACCTTCCCACGGTTTCCTCACAGCACAGCACAGACAGTGAGGCGAGAGCGAAGCGAGAGCAAGAGAGCGAGAGTTGACAGACAGACA